TAAAGAACTTTTAGATTCGAATACTATAAATATAAATTAACGGGACAAAATTTCTTCTTATCTAGATTGGGATATTTTTATATTATCTCTTTCTTTTTTTCTTCTTTCTTTTATTTTGATCAATTTCGTTTCAGAATGGGAGAAAATCCATATGATATATTTTATTAATTGAATAGTTTGATTATTTAATTGAAGGATTTGCTGCAACAAAGTAGGTTACATTTTATAAAAACGGAATAAATGGAACGAAGTAAACTCTACAAAGGCTATAATAAATTGTATGGATCTTATCTACTACAGATCGTAATTTTTATTCTAGATTTATTGGCCTTCTATCAGAGTTTCTATATTTAAAGTTCATTGAACTGAATTTTATAATACATATACAGCAAACAAGAAATTCAGTTCAATGAACCTCAAAAAATCGATAATATAAAAGCTACTGTTGCAGCAAACCTTTTAATTCTTAGTTTTTTGTAAAAATGGAGTAAATAAAATTCCTAAGTTAAAGTAATGATAAAAATACTAAATATTATATGTTCGACTACGTTGTGAAGCTAATTCACAATGTAAAATTGATATTTTTTCTAAAGAAACTCCTTGTTTGTTATCGCATTATTGACATTATGAAATTCATTTCAATGAGTCTGATTAAATTTAGAGACTCTCCAATAGAAGACCAATAAGCCTATAAGAATCAAAAGTTACGATCTGTAGTAAGATCTATACGATATATTATAGTCCTTGTAGAGATCTATAAGACAAAAGGGAAAGAAATAAAGATGCGGTCTCAGGTCTTTCGTGAAATGACTCGACACCGCGCCGGTAGGAAGGGCGAGACGGACGAGCAGGCGGGTGGACGGGAGGGAGGAGGCAAGAAGAAGAAGAAGCGAGCAGTGGCCGTGGAGAGGAACGGGCGGACTCGCGCTTTGGAATGCTTTGAAAGGCCGCGAGCAGTTCTCTTGGCTAGAGCTGCTCGTTGGCTGTGAAGCGAAGGGAGAAAAAGCAAAAGAGGAAGAGAGGCTGTCGAGGATGGTCTTGCTTCAATTAATTACCACATTGTCGTGCGGCCAACCGGCGCTGGATGTTCCACCGTTGGATAATCTATGGAAGACCCGCTTGCTCCTTGATTTAATCTCCTACGCGCTCTCAACCCCGCGAGCGACGAATTTCGCACGGCGCAATCGAACGGGCATCGAAGGCGTTAAGTAAAAAATAGTTACAGTCTCTGAAAAATTATCAAAAGATAATCTTCCAGTTTTTCTATAGTCGTCTTTCTTGTTGATATTCTTATGCTTTTTACAATTTTTTTATTTTTTTTTTTCCAAAATATATCTCTTTAGAATCAAGCAAAATTCCAAATGTGATAAAATAGACTTGAGATCAACTAAGAAGAAATAATTATACAGTTAAAGTTATAGATGTGTTGAAATAATAATTCTATATATAATTTATTTTAAATACATTTACTTCAGATATATGATTGCCGATTTTCGGACTTGCAATAATCAAACTGAAATAATAATAATAATCTCACAAATTAAATTTGATTATCAATTTGAAGAACTATTAATTTTAGAATTTTCAATTAATTAATAAATTCTAATTACTTCATAAATTCTTCAATTTATATTCACGTACTATATTATCAATTTAAACAGAGCTATTTGCGTATGCTATTTTAATTACACAAGCGGCATAGTTCTCAAGATAGTACTTAGTAATCGCGCAAAGCAAACCGCACAAATTGCTACAAGACGGTATGTATAGGTGTGTTGCGCCGAGCTTAAAGCTCCTCCGGTTTTCATCGCAAACCGCCTACCAATCAACAGTTGCAAAGCCATGATGACAAGCGGATATACCTTCATTCGACGACGCCTACCTCCAGGTCGCTCGTCACTTTGTGCATCATGGCGGTGATGTACTGCACCATGAAACGACCGGACCCGAGTTTATTGGCGTAGATAACGATAGCATCTCTCGCGGGCGTAGTCGTTCGTCTTTTTTCTCCTCTTCATCGTGTCTCTTTTGCCCTCATACCCGCGCATCCTTCCGTCGACTGGTGCATACATCACCGTCAGCTTATTTCTGTGCACCGCTGATGCATGCACGTAATTGGTTAGGCGGGGTAGCGAACGAAACGCTCAACTCGTCGTTCTCCACCGATCGGTAGGCAGGGAAATCACTATTCGTAGTGATTTGTTGGACATCGACACGCATTTTTATTCCCGCAAAAAATCGAGAAAATAAGAAATATATCTTGATAAAATTACTGTTGGGCAACTCTAAACAATAATATGCATGTACCTTATAAGTAAATGTTCGTTGTAAGAAAAGACAATTTTGCTGAAATATCTAAAAATTTAATAAATATCGATCTAAAAATAATTTTGGATCTTCAAACAATTACATCATAAAATATTTGAATTAATATCAAGAATGATAGAATGTCTGAACTCTTTATAATCATGTTTGAGATTCTTGCATAATTATTTTAACAATCCACAATTATTTTCCAAAATTATTTTCCGATCCGTATCTAGCTAAATGTTTAGATACTTTAAAACTTATTCTTTTCGTGTATAGTTATTTAATGATTAAAATTAAATGACAGATGAGATTTGGATGATCTATTTAACCATTCAGATTTAATATGTTTTTTAATTTTTTTAGTAATAAATGTCTTTACAATTAAAATTCTCATTTTTACTAAAAAAAAAATCGAATTAGTTTCATATTATCTAATTATCATTGATGATTGCTACAAAAAGATCGCGTGACGACCGAAAGGGTTGGATTAATGGACCACTATGGTGTCGAATTCTGGCGCGCGGACAACGTGGAAGTCAATGGGCCGTCCGCTGTTCCCGTCGTCGACATTCTCTTTATAGCGCGCGAGAAAACGCATGGCCCCGATGTCATGCGGAAAATCCCGGCTATCGCCGTTAAAATGCGGTATTTACACGCTCGTATTTCTCTTGTCATCCCATCATCACGATCACTGCGCCACGCGAGCAATGCAATCGTCGGCCACGCTTCTCCTTGGCTCACACGATTTGCCGCTCGAGAATTTTGTCGATCGACGACAAGGGTGTTAACATTTTAGAAGATAGAAGATGATTGAGAAATACGTCGAAAATCTCTAACAACGATTGTATGAGAAAACATTATGCATATAGAATATTCTGTTATCACTATATACTTATCAAAATTTGATCGAACAAGAATATTTTCATAGGCGTAAATATACTTGTTTTTGAACACAGGAAAAGAATTTAGTGTTTCCATCAAAACTGTTTATTTTTTAACAACAGTCAAAGATTTAGATAATAAAAAACTTTCTTGCTTCTATAAAATATATTTTTTTGCTTTGTAAATAAAAATATTTATTTACGCCAAGTAAACAATTTAGGTGCATAAAATTACAATTTTATTCGTTACATTTTAATAAAAAAGTTTTGTTCTCATACATTTCAATCAAATTTTTCTTGTTATGGCAAAATTTTGGTTCATAAAACATTTTTCCTATTGTAATGTTCATAATTAAGAAAAAATCGAAAATTAGAATTAGAATTGAAGAACCGTTTAGGACAATTGAAAATTTCAAATTATCCTACAACAGTTTTTAATTTCTTGGAATTCAAGATCTGGAATTTAAAGGGATTTTCTAGTGTTTTTCTTTGCTTTTATTCTTTAATGTTTTTTGTTTGATTTATCATGACACTCGTGATTTATCATAAAGATGCGCTATATAAACTATATATCAATCGACTAATTAAACTGGTTAACTGATAATCATTACAATTCGCGAAGTGCTAAGGAATAATCGGTTAACTGATATCATTAATGTGTTAATCGGTAAATAGCACGATCGTGTGCAATGTTCGTATAAAAGCAATTACGATTCTTCCCAACAAAAAATCTTTCATAAGAGTTCATTTAGTTTTAATTTTAATTAGTTTTAACTTTAGTTTTAATTAGTTTTAAGTAATTAGTTTTAATTATTTTTATTTTATTCTTGTCGTCAATCGCTGCATTTTACAATACAAAAAAGAAAATAACACTCTTCTACAGAGTGAAATCAGTGAAATAAAAGTTATTAATAGAAATGTAGTGATAGAAGTTTACAATCTATGTTTGTAAGAAAAAAAGAGTTAGATATTTAAAGGCAAGTTTATAAATATTTTAGATAAAATGTCACAACATATACGTATTGTATTATATATAGCTCAATTTTCAGCCAACATATAATTTGACAATAATAATTTTGTCAATGTGTTTTTCAATTAATATTATAAATTAATAAAATTCTCGTTATTATCAATTTAAAAATTCGATATATTGACGTTGGATTTGTGAAGTTTTTATTTAATTTATGATTAAAAGACATTAATTAATTTCAAATGATTCATAAAAGAGAATGAATCCTATGTTTGTTTTAATAAGAATAATTCAAATTTGCAGATGTAATATAAAGAATATAATTGAGTAGATTCAATAAAGCTACTGTAGCTTCGGAAGATTAAGTATAGTATACAAAAAAGAGATTTCGCTGAAATACTTCAAAATATAGATAGATCTGAGAATAATTGTATTGGAGCATTAAAATAATTATGTAGCATACTCAAACTGATCGCTAGAATGTCATTTTATAGCATTATTTATCATACTTGAGTTTTTTACGTAATTATTTTAATGATTCAACAATATTATTTTCAGATCTTTATCTAATTAAATTTTCAAATATTTCAAAAAAATTGTTCTTTCTGTGCAATTCGAAAACTAAAAGACATTGCGTGCTCCATTATAAGTCACGTCGCCTAAAAGTCAGCAGAATCTTAATTAAATATATCATTTTTAATTTTATATATGTAATGTAATCCAGAAATGTTCTTACAATTAGACATAAAAATCGTAGATTTGACGTTTAAAATCTTTGGTATAATAAAATTTTAAAAATCGACGATGTTGCATACGAGACTAATTGCTTATTATTACAGCTGAATGTGCATCAAAGATCTTTGGAAGCAGCCGGTATCGAGCTTTGCGGCGCCGGCGGAAGCGTCCCTCAAGGTCAGCCGAGCAGTGCAGGTTCCGTAGGGTCCGCGCCGAGTCCTGCATCCCCAAGGCCAACGCCGCAACCGCGACCACCCCTTGCAACCACCACCTCGCAACCCTCGCGAACGTTGGACGACGACAGATCGACAGACGGTGAGACGATTAATTGTCTCGGTTTACAGCAACGTGTGTATCGTCACGTGAACACCTGCGTATTAATACACCGGCTCGCAGGCGTGGGTGCCGGCACGACCGAGGACTCCGACGATGGCGAGAGCAGAGCGCAGTACGTTAACGCGAATTGCGTCGTGTTTACGCATTATCGAGGCGACGCGGCGTCAGAAGTGGAGGAACACTTTCAAAGGGCCCTCGCTCACGATAAATTAAAGGGTAAGATGCCAAATGTGATTATCTTTCTCTATATTTAGAGAAAAATAACTTATTTAAAAAATACAAACGTTTTAAGAAATGTAGATATAGATTTAACACTATATGATGGTATGAGGGTTAAATGTAATTCTCACTGTGTTGGTGTTGGCATATAAACTCTATTGAGATTGAAAAATGGATGGATCACAAAATTCGAGCATCACGATTGATACTATAAATAAAGTGAATTCCAATTTAAAATTCATTTAGAATTTAAAACAATTACATTTAAAATCCTTGAATAATTACATACACTCTATAATATACATACACTCTAAAAAATATGTGCGTAAATTTAACACTATGTCAATATTAATATTATTTAAACAAAGATGTTAAATCCATATCATGTTGGTGTTTATATTAATGCCAATACAGTAAAAATTATATAAACATTGGCATGATGTTAAATCCTCATATTTTTTAAAATGTATGTACAATTATTCAAGAATTTTAAATATACTTGAATTCTAAATGGATTGGAATTCACTTTATTCATGGTATCAATCGTGATACTCGAATTTTGTGGTCCATCCATTTTTCAATCTCAATGAAGGCAAAACGTTTCGACAACGAAATGTTTTCGAAGTGAGTAATAAAGTACGCCATTAGGCGGCGACAAGGCTAACAAGCCTCGTGACAATTGTAGCTCGTTCGTACTCGCGCCGACTTAAATCGCGAGCAGGGCAGGGCAGGCCAGTGAAGAGAAAAGAGCAGAAGGAACCTCGACCGCAGGGGAGGACGAAGGGAAGATTGTCAGCACGCGAGCGGGTTTGGCAAGCGATCGGCAAGCTCGTCTATATCGGTGTCGTTTAAGGCCGCATTTATCCCGACCACAGTGCGCCGAGGATCAGTTCAGTAGCCTGCTTAGAATTCAAGACAACACGACCTAATTGTTACGCCTCACCACTTCCCTCTCACCCTCTTTCCTCGCTCATCGTTCCCTCTCTTCTGCTTGCGTTCTAACTTCCCGCGACCGTGCTCGTACGAATGGTAAATTAAGAGCTTCTGCTGGGAAAAGAGGGATGGTGGAGAAGCGCTGAGGAAAGACATTGTGAGGGAAAGGAAGGCGGGGAGTGGAGTATGGAGAGGCGACATCGCGAGAGACAGTTTTAGCCGCGGAATGCCGGGTAACGTACGTACAAGGACCGAACGCGACTTTGAGCCTAAAACGCGCACGCTGAGAAAACAAAGAAGGAAAGAGAGGAGGGGATAGCTCAATGGAAGAAAAGAGATAGAAAGAGAAAAGAGTTACTCTCGGAATTAAAAAGGAATTCGAGTAATTGGTTTGAAAAAATACGGTGGGTTCCGGTTCGAAACAAATAGAAATTATTTTGCGTAAAAAGATAGAGTTATTTTGAGGATTGTGTACAAATTGAGAGAGAGAAGTTATATATCTATGACTGACCTAATTAAATAAATTTAGTATATAAAAATGTGCTAATAATAAAATACTTCAAAAATACTTTTAAATACTCTTTGATTATTTTAATATAAAGAAATTAAATTTTATTAAATAAATAATGTAATTAATTATTTTAATAGA